TGTCATGAGTGTCTGGACTAAATGTAAGAATGAGATAGATGCTAGAGGTTTGAACCTTGTTTCCCAAGTGGGATATTCTGAGTTTTGATTTAACATTAACTTTCATGACCAACAATTTTTACCAGGAAAAGGAATGGAATATAATAGCAAAAGAGTATATAGAGAGGAAATATTCCAAGCACATAACTACTTGCTATATGTAAAAGCATAAATGAGGGAAAGAAAGTAGAACTGGGTAGACAAAGAAACACTAGTGGTTCCAGATCAGGAAAGTGAAAGGCAAAATATAAATTGAAATGCTGGTCATGCAATCCTGTGAGATAGTCCTTGTCAGAATTCACTGAAAATCGTTAGTGTATATTTTTCTACTGTTCAGCCTAAACAAGTTAAAAGCCAGACACCAATTTTGAATTGAAAAGAAACGTGTTTAAGAGTATGTATATTGTTATGGCTTGTATCTAAATGACCCCTCAAAACCTCATGCAGTCATAGGTGGGGAGTTTCGAAGGAGGCTGGATTAGGGTGTGTAAATATGGATTAAGGATGTGATACTAGGATTAAGGGTATGAATAATGGAAGCCCCATCCCAGGGATGGGTGGCATGAATCAGTAGGCTTGTAGCCTAGCTAGAATCTAAAGGAACAGAAGCCAGATGTGGTGGCACACACCTGTAATCCCAGCACTCAGGAGGCTAAGGCAGGAGGATTGCTGTGAGTTCAAGGCTAGCCTGGGCCACATCCTGAGTTCAGGGTCAGCCTGAACTACAAAGTGAGACTTGCCTCAAAAGAACAAAACAAACAAACAAACAAACCAAATAATCTAAAGGGACAGAAAGAAGGCAGACTCACTGCATTGGCTGCTTGCTGCCTTCCTTCCTGCCTGCCATGCCAGGAACTATTTCTCCTCTTCCATGCCCCTCTGCCATACAGCCCTGCCAAGGAGCCAGCCAACTGGGGACTGAAAGCTCTATAAACTGTGAGCTGAAATAAACTTTTCCTCCTTTACCTTCAGGTGTCTGGTATTTTGGCTCAGCAATGAGCAAAAGGTAATTAATGCACATATCTACCTAGGAAAATAATAAAAAATTAATGGATGTATCACATATATATTTCTAAACACAATCAGTGATACTTTCACTCTGTGTTTAAAGGACTCACTTTAAAAGAATTACTTGTTCACATTCAATGTAGCTGCTAGAAGGGAATATTTATTTCCCTCTAGCATTTTGCTCTCCTCCTAGGCCAATTCTTAAACCACAACACTGGAGCTCTTTAATGTAAAACTGCCATGGTTCATAAAGGGCACAAATGAGGTACAAGTTAAGGAGCTAGTGTATAATGGCAGACAAAAATGTTGGCTTTGCAGATAGCCAGGCTTAGGTTTCACTCTGGAGGGTGACCCAGAATGTTATCTAATCTACCTTAAACCTCTGTTTTTCATCTATAAAATGAAATAAATGCTGGGTATGGTGGTACCCTACTGTAATCCCAGCACTCTGAGAGACTAAGGCAGGAAGATTGCAAGTTCAAGCTCAGCCTGGCAATAGAAACTTAACAAAGGTGGTGGTGGGGAGTCAGTGCAAAGGGTCCTGGGTTCAGTCTCCACTGCTGGAAAAAAAAGATGGAGATAGGGTATTAACTGCTAATACTTTCTAGGATCTAAGAATTAATGTGATTGCTAATATTTTCTAGACTTTTGTAGGAATTGATGAGATACAGTACTACATATAAAGAACTTGAAGAGTCTGGAGCCTAACTGGCTCAAGAATAAATAAATATCGTTCATTGCTGTTCGTTCTACAAGGCTTCATCAATGAGATGGGAGTGGCAGGATGAGATACACTGGGTAAATTTCAAGAGAATAATGACATATATGTAGTCACAGTCATCACACTTCAACAGTAACAATAAGTAAGGTAGATTTACTTACTGTCACAATCCATAAGGCACATTTCTTTTTGTTATTGATTTTAAACATTCACTTCTACAAAGTGTGGCACCCAAATTTCAGCATTTATGAAAAACTTGTATTTTTCTGCCAAAGACAGGATTCAATCCAGATTGTCTTACTTCAGGTTTAATGCTTTCTTTACTACTTCTACTAAGAAAGAATTTTAGTAGTTTCTAAATGAGTCCCTGTTTACTGCTTAAAAAGGCAGGCTTGGAATCTTTCAATCACTGAGCTAAAAAAGTATCACAAGAATTTTATATTTATCTTGTAAGATCTGTTCCCAAACCACAGTGGGGTGTTGCTATTATATATTTCTGAGAAGAGAAAGTCTACAACCACCCTAGTCCACTATGCATTTATCCTTGAAATGAAGGCATATTTTACACTGTAGTTCTTATTTCTTTTTTAATGGTTAGCCATTAGTAGCTGATTTGTAATGCTTCCAGATATTTTCCCAACTGACTGGTTATAGCATCTGGAATTTCACCACTAAGACAAAATTTTATCATTAAGGTATAGTTTTAAGAAAATCCTTGTTATACTGCACTGGAAAGAGAAGAGGAATATTAACATACCCATAGTTAACCATCACCCATACTTATATTGACTAGTTGTCTGTTCTAATGGCCTCCTTGGAGAGTACAAGCAGATACCAAAGAAGAGCTGAATGTGAATGCAAAGAGTAAAATAATTCCAAAGCCTGGGGAGGTGGAGAAAGCTGACACTTTCTGACACCTCCAGGATGGGTAGGCAGCAGGCAGACAGAGCATGTGGGTGGTCACCACTCAGCCAAGCCTACTTAGAGTTACTCAGACCTAGGGCTATTCCTAAACATGACTTAGAAGTTTTTCTTGTTTTAAATTATGACTTCCCCAGGTTCTTGTACTCAGCAAAGATGTAAAACTAAAAGGCCATGTTAAGCCACATGAACATTTCTTAATCACTAAACACATCTAACTCATTAAATTTGAGCATTACATAATTTCACCTAGCATATTGTCAGTACTTGATAAATATTTGCTGAATGAGTGAATCCTTTCATAATTCTGCCCTCTGAATACTTTAGAAAGTGACTCAGTATTGGAGGCACTGAAATTTTAACAGCTTTTCAAAAAGCCATAACAAAGGTGTGAAAGATCACCTTTGTCCACTAGAACTATCATGATGAAAATATTTTTAAATCTGTTCTGACCAAAACAGAAATCGCTAGCCACATGTGGGTATTGAAAGGTAGGTAAAGAGACTAAAGAAATGAATGTTCATTTCATTTCATGTAGCTAATCTACACCTACTACATTGGACAGTACAAGTCTAAAGATTTCTTTAAAGTATTTTGCCCTTCTAACATTTAAATGTAATTTTTATTAACTTCATCAATTGTTATACATAAGTTTGTCTCTTGGTGTTTTAGCTTTATAAAGATAGAAATAATTGACTTACCTGTGACAACTCTGAAGACTAGTATAGCAAACCAAATTGGCTTGAACAGCAGCATCTCAGGGGAATTTATGTGCCATTGTGATGACTTGTAATATGGGGTCAATTTCTAATTTCAGCTATTGACATAAAAGGACAGAGTTTGCATCTTTGAAACTTTGAAGCATGAGAAGTGGGCTGGGCCCTGACAGGCTGCCTTTCAAGCTAGTCTTCCTTTTGATGGCCTCCTCCCTCCTTAGGAATTTGGCACCTTCCGGATGCCCCTGGGTCTGCAGAGGCCTCTAGGGTGCTTTTCGATAGCCCTCCTCTCTTAGCTTCCTAGAGTGCTCGCCTCCCTTCCAAGAAACTGAGACACTGCTGTGAGGTGGGGGGCGGTGAAAACCAATATTAAGTTCATATTGTGTGCTTGTTACATGCTTTGTACCATGATCACTAAAAAATGTGTTGCCTGCATGAATGAATATTATCGCCGTGGCAAATAAATGGGGTTGAATAAGATTTTTACTCTGTGAAGCAGATGGCTCCATATCACAGATGAGGATAATGAAAATTAGAACAGTTTTATGACTTTCTCAAGGTATTGATACGCAATATTCTAATCATTTAATCTTTTTCTCTCCTTCCTGCTCTAGCCGCTTGCCTGGTTGCCTGTGTTCTCAGGGATTTTACTCTTTACCGTTCAGAGAGAGCCACCAGCTAAACTGACCAAGAGAGTCACACAAACACGTGCAAATATATTGATAGAACCCTCCTAGAGCCCCTTTCCCAGGGCTCTTCCGATTTTAACGCCAATCTTTTGGGGACAGTCTCGGTTTACATAAATGGCTCCCTCGGAATTTCATGCTGTTCAAGAGATATATTTTGGTACTTTAATGGCATTAAAAAACATTCCACAGCAGATATTTTCCTGGCGCCTGGACACTTACATAAAAGAGACGCATTCACTTATAAATTTAACTTCGTCAGGGTTTGCATGTATCTAAACGTTGTTATGAGCAGTAGACGACTGATTTGTGTATTAGTCCCAATCACTGTTTGACTTGTAAGACACATTTAAAAAAATAGGCTCCTCCCTCATCTCTTCCCTTCTCCCCTCCCCTCGGAACCTTCTATGCTTCAGAGTAGGGTATAAAAACGTAGGAGAATTTGGAAAGGATTAAAATAAGGCCCTGTGATTTTCAACACAAAGACCACAATCTGCGCTAGAGCACAAGTATTTAAAACACATCACATCCAGAAGTTGGAGGACTACAAAGTACAAGTCGTCCAGTCCAGTCTGCAGAGACAGTTCATGCTTTTGCCCTAGCGAAAACCCGGCAGGTGACACGTCGCGACGAGTTGCAGCTGCGGAAGAGGAAGAGCATCACCTGCAGTCCGAGGCTTGGGAAACTCTGCCCGGAGGGAGTCTGCGAGCCCGAGAGGTGCGAGCTGCGGGCCTCCGGGCTGGTCGGGTGCTGAGTGTTAGGACGCGGCGGCGTGCAGAAGGGCAGACGCCTCCACCGTGGGGACGGCTGCGGCCACCGAGCCGACTACGGTAGGCGAGCCCGTGGCAGCCTCGGCGCCTGCAGCCGCAACTGCCGGGGAGGCCGACCCAGCCCAGAACCCCGTCCGCGCCGGGGAGCAGGGGGCGAGGCGGAGCGCTGACGTCACCTCCCCTCCCCCAGCTCCTCCAAGAGGGAGGGAGGGAGCAAAAGAGGCAGCAAGCCGCCGCAGCTCCCGACCGCAACTCCCCAACTCGGCGGCTGGCTGCCTGGACATGTCCTGAGAAACTTGGCTTGCCCTGGCCTTCTCCCTTAGCCCTCGCGCGCTCTCCGGCCGCCACCTTCTGGTGCTCAAGTTTCCCCCTGGTCGGAAGGAAGCTCTGGAGATGCGGCCACCTGGGTCCCAGCAGTGAGAGCGGATCGCACTCTGGTTGGGGATATGTTGAAGATCGGAGGGAGGCAAAGTTGACACTTCAAACACGGTTCCTAACCTCGTGGGCTTTCCCGAACTGCCGGGAGGGCTGGAAAGCGGAGCACCGAGGAGTGGTGAGTGCTTTGTTCAGTGCATGCCTTTTTGTGTTTAAGTTTAAACGTTAACGAAATAACATGGGATGTTTGGTTCTAAGAGAGTGTAGGATGCGTGTGTATCTTTCAAGGGTCTCCACTCCGGGCACCGCACACACCCCTGGCTCTGCACCGCTCGGAAAGGAAAGATCTGTGTGCATAGCTTTTGGAAATTCATAAAATACACACAGAGCACCGTTCAAAAGAACTTGAGAAGCGATGCCGTTTGTGCATTATTTCGAATGTAACTTATAGAAATGGTGCCCAGGGAGGGCGCTTCGGGGACTGCCGGATCTGCAGTGGCGCAGCGCCCTCTAGTCCGGGCACCCGGCAAGGCGCGCTGCTGTCGGAGTCCACGCGGACGGCGAACTTGGACCTGCCGCGCGCTCCGGAACGTGGGCTCAAGCGAGCTCGGTCGCCGCCACTGCAGCCTTCTTGTACCACCTACCTGGCCCGTTCTTTATAGGACATCCAAAAATCAGTTTGGGTGGACTGGATACAGAGTCTTGCTGGAAGAAAGGGTTTTGTTTGGCAACCGTTTTTTCCTTCCCACTAATTTCCATGAGTCTCTGGAGACAGAGTTAAGGAGGGCCGACTATTTAAAGGACATATGTGCAGGCTGAATCACATGTCTCTCTTTTATGTGGAGATAGGTAATGGTAGCCAAAAATACATCCTTATTTCTTTCTGTTGGGCCTAAAGGAGCTTAATAGCGTGACAGCACCGGAGCCTGCATCTGTGGCTCTCCGTGGATCCTGTGAAGACGAAGTGCAACTTGTTCCAGGGATTTTATTTTTTTCAGTGAGCCTGCAAAATCGGGATTCTCAAATAGATGTTTTAGTCAAAGTAAGGGCTAATATTTATTAACGAACGGTAATTTTCTCCAAAAAAATTTTTTATGCTGTTTAGAAAATCCTGTGATTTTCTTGTTATGGAATGGTATCTTTGTACTTTTTACTATTCTTTCATCCACCTCCTAGCACTAGCCCAAGCCCTCCGTCTCCCGCCTCCAAACCGCCCGGCTGTCGTTCTTGTGTGGCTCGGTTTTGTGGAAGAATTTGGCAAGGGATGCAGACTGGTTGAGCATGGAGATCGGGTCACCCACTTCCGAGGTGTTCCGTGTATGAAATTAACCTGTAACTCCAGAAGCACTTTGTGCAATGGTATCTGTGACCAAACCAGTGTTTGGATAATGGTGTATTTGTTCGGTGTGTGAATCTGTGTATTCTAAACAATAAGCAAAGAATATATTGCTACGAATCAGCACACTCGTTCTGCAGCCATTATATTTTCTTCCCAGTTATAACCTGCTGGTCATCTTAATTTTTTTCAATCACTTTCTTTAGGACGGCACGTGAAGTAACTACATAACTTCGAACCGCAAAACTCTAAAACAAAACTCTCTCGCACCATCTGTCTCGCGATCCCCCCAGCACTCCCCTCCTCCCGTTCCAGGGAAATCAGATCTCTTCGTCGTCACAGTTAAAATGTTGGAGCCCCAGAAGACTTCGAGAGGTCTCGTCTGCCTTTATCTCCTGGCCGCGTCCCAGCGCTCCGCAGCCTTGCCCTCGCCTGGGACGCGCGGACGGAGCGCTAAACAGAGTTCCTGTAGCGGGGCTTCCCTTTCTTTTAGAGAATTTGTAGTTGTTCCACTGGGTCTTTCAGTTTGCCGGCCCCATGGGGCGGAGTTAAGGTCTCGGAAACTGCGAGGGGCTGCTCAGCCGCCTTTTGTCCTGAAGACTGTCTGGGAGTGGGGGAGCGCTCGCCTCGCCACCCGGGCTCGGGAGGCTCCGGAGTTTTAAACAGTGCACAAAGAGATCGCGGAGGAAACACTTCCCCTTTCCCAGAACTTAGTGTAGATTTCAGGAGAAAGTAGACCCGCTCTAACTACCGGTCTTCTGAGATCTCTCGTGTTTTATTTATCCCTCCAAGCAGTTGCAGACCCAGAGAGAGGCATTCAAATGCAGATTCAGGAGTTTCCTGAAGGTCTTAAAAATTCTAAAGGGATGCCTGGGGAGCTTTTTCCTTAGTCTTAGCTGACTTCTTTCCCTTCCCCCTGAGCAAAGCTAATGTTTCCTCTTTCCTAGCAGGGAACAATCCGTGTTAAATCCTTCCACCAGTGTGTGTGCTGGCCATAACTAACCGCGGCCTTAGAACAAGCCCCAATCTGTTCCTCGAAGTGTCGCAAGATCGCCCTGGGCGTTTACCCCTCACCTCGCAGGCAGCGGGCCTTTGTAGGGACAGAGCTCTTTTGACCCCGGGCGGAGCGTCCTGGTTGCTCAGGACCCGGGGGCACCGAGTCCCACCACTGCAGAAAATCAGCTTGAGTTTCCGCGCTGGAGAAACGAGCGCCGGCGCCGGAAGGCGTGGCCGAGGGCGGAGGGATACCGGGGAAAGGAGTGAGAGTGAGGCGTCCTCTCGGCCGGCAGGATGGGCTTCGCTGGGCCTCCTCGGAGAGAGGTGCGCAGGCGGCGAGGTGGTCCAGGCACCATGCGGACGTGCGGGCCCAGTGAGGTCCCCGGCAGACCAGGCTCCCTCTCAGGGGCGCGCTGAGGCAACGAGGTGTGCGGCTCGGGAGCACCCCGGTGACTTGGAGCAAACTTTGCAGTAAGTTTGATGGCTGTGAAGTTTGGCCTTGAGAGAGCGCGCCTGAGGGCGCAGCGCCCAGCCGCGGCCACCGGTGCGCGCGGGGCCGTCTGTGCCCGCGAGGAATGCGACTCGCGGTCTCCGGCTCGAGGACCTGCGGCTCCTTAGGTTCCCTCCCCAGACTGCGTGGCTCAGGCTCGTGCTCCTCCCGGTGTCCCCGAAAATGGGGTGGAAGGAGGAGTCCGGCTAGAAGCTTGCGGAGACCCGAGTCCTTCCCTCTTGGAAAGTTTAGTCTCGGCGCCGGCTTCGCGGCGGCTCCAGGAGGATGCGGGGGCGGAGGGGATAATTGGCACCGTGCGCGGAATGGTAATTACCAAGAGGCTGCTGAGGGGAGCAGGCTGAGGCCGGGCGCCGGCTCGGGGCTGGTTCCGGAGCCATCGCGGGGGATCACGGCGGGGTCCCGCGCCCGAGGGGAAGGACCGCAGCCCCGAGCTCGGGAGTTCCGCGCGGTCCTTTTCCTTCTCGCCGGGAGCACGCCCGCCTGCTCCTGACTGACGGATCTCCCTCACAGATTATGAAATTTACACACAGGTGGGGTGAAAGGAAGGCGGATCGCCGAGAGCAGGATCTTGGAAATGGAGTCGCAGGATTCTCTTAGATGTTTTGTGTCTTTAGGGAGCGCTGCTCCGAGGTTTCAGTGCAACTGGTTGCATGCAGATTTGGAAAGGTGCGCTTGGTACCTTGCTGGACTTACTGTTGGCAAAAGATTCTGACTCGTTTGTTCTTAAAGTGCTTTCCTTTAGGAAACAGCCTTTCTCTTGTCTCTGTATCACCCACCCCCATGAGAATTGCAGGGCTTTGCAAACAAGGACGCAATTTGTATCACAGTTTACTCAAATATTTTCCATGCTGTTAAATTTTTTTATTTTCGCGTGTGTCTGAACTATGGTTTCACTGCGTCTTTTGTTAAGCAGCTCCCACATGGCTGGTAGAAGAGTTTTTGGTGTTTTTTTTTAAATTTGGTATTTACAGTTAGCTATTAGAATTGTGTAATATTTAAAAGGCACGTAACCTTCAGATATTTATTAGCCCTTTTCAAAAGCAGATTCCTAATGCTTCACATATTCAGTATTGAGTAATTTAAGAAGATATTTACGTGTGTTAAAATTAGGCAATAGTGATGTCTTTCACATTAGAAGACTTTTAGTTATTATTCAACTTGTCCAGTTATTACAGGTACTCATGGAAAAGTGTTCACCTATTATACAGTTTAATTTTGATTTTTGCCCTTGAATCTTAGGAGGCTAGCTTTGATTTCACAATTAGAATGATTCCTCTTCTCTTTTTATATATTTCAGGTTTAAAATGTAAGGATACTTAAAAGATTTTATAGTTTTGAAAAATGCACATTGGTATAACTCCTTATTTATTTATTTTGGTACCGGGGGAATCGAACTCGGGTCTTTGCTCTTGCGCAGCAGGCGGCGAAACCACTGAGCTAAATAAATCCCTGGCCCAAGAAAGTTTGTTTTTTTTTTTTTTTTTTTTTTTAAGGCATTGCTCTGCGTCTCTGGTTCTCAAACATTCCTGGAACCTCATAGAGAGCTTTTTTGGGGGGCGGGGTACCAGGGATTGAACTCGGGTCCTTGCTCTTGCGCAGCGGGCGGCGAAACCACTGAGCGAAATCCCCGGCCCTTAACTCTTGTTATGCCAGTTGTACCACTTACCGGGCTCAGTGTAAGTTTTAAGAAGTTTGAATCTGTGCACTCATTTCTTGAAAAATTAACATTAGATAGGAACCAAATTATCACTGTGAAAGTTGTTGACCACTTGTACAGTATGTTTTTGTCACCGAAATGTTTTTATTGGATTTTGACCATGTTAGTAGACCATTTAAATTTGTGGTAAAAATGTGTATGTAAACTAATACCATTTTCATCACCTGGCACCAGCCTTTCTAGTATATACCTTTAAATTTAGCCCTAGAGCCACCTATGAAGTAGTCATTTCTTTGAATATTAGAAGTGGAAGAGATTTTTTAGAGATTGTCCTTACTCTCCTATCAAGTTTGCCACCACTCTTTTTCCATCCATGTTTGGCTGGTTTTACATAGAATCCATAAACCACACCAAATTAATACAGTATTCTTGCATTAAATTTTGCCTCAGTGGCCTAGTTTTTGGCCTGAAGGACCTGATTTAGTAAGACTAAGCCCTAAGGTTCTATGTACATTTGAGTTTTCAAGAGTGGAAATTAGCAGGGGTGTGTGTGTTGTGTGTGTGTGTGTGTGTGTGTGTGTATGCATGCGCTCGTGCAAACTGGGTGATGAAGCTGAACTCCATCTTTTGATACCAGTTGCTCAATTTGCAAGTGTCACTTTATCCATAGACTCTGGA